TTGCCTCTTGTCAGCTCTACTGTACACCTGGGAATTCTGATCATTCACATAAACTTATAGGACCATTGTCTGCCAACCCTATATATGTTCTTGGATACCCTCCCCATTTCATAGACATACCTAATCGTTTAGCCTATCCACCCATCTATACACCCATATACCCATGTTTGACTTCACTGACAACACAGTACTGTATGTGCAAAAGGGTTCATATTTGTTGTTTGTACTTCCCATGTACCTCTCTAGTCTTTCTCATCCTCAGTGGTGCCGTATTGGTCACTCACGTTTGGTACATTGCCCTTCTCTTCATCCAAATCAATACTTACCTCTGTCTATCTAACAGCGTGCCCTCCCCTCCCACCCCTGGTAACCAACAAAGAAAATTTCCTTCTATAGATAAACCTTTCCTTAACTTTTACAATAACAGAAGGTATTTTTCTTTTAAGACATAAATAATTAGCAGTATTGTAAGTCTCCTAGGTAAATCAGATTCTGAAATCTCCCAAAATTTTCAGACACAACTATATAAACTTTTGGCATAACCAAAAGCATCAGTGATAAGCAAGTACCCAATTTTTAGCAGGAGTTGGCAAGCTTATTTTTGTTTAACAAGATTTTGTTTATATGACAGTACCATCTAATTTCTCAGATATATTAATCTAGAAACTAATTTTTTTGAACAAGCTTAGTAGTACCAGTGTGAGTAAGTTATCACATTATGTTTTTAGAGTGTCTTGGTTGTTTCTCAGTTCCTGCTGTCATGGCCTATAAAACAGTTTTCCTCGCCCTCAGTTTTTTGTACAGTTTTTTATATCATATTCATTTTCCAAAAATATATTTTTCTAATAGTTAAGCCTGAATTTTTTTTATAGTATCATCAGAAATGGCTTTATTTTATATAAGTGAAATTTCTGGAAGCTGAAGTTTACCTGCTTTTCAAAGCAGGGAAGCAGCAATCATTTTTGTTATAAACCTCTTCTGAGACAATCCTCTCATGAATTTATCAACTTTTTCAGTAGGAGAATCTTGAATATGATGTAACATTTACTGAGGACTGAGGGTTATCATGAGGGCATCAGAGTAATCTCTATTGTGACACAGTGATGCACATGGGAGGTGACTTAGAGTTCTAGTTCTGTCTCTTCTGTTCCTGATAGGTCTCACTTTAATTTTTGCAACCTACCTCTGACCTTACTTGTGAATTTCCTTGTTATAATTTTGGCCCAGAAACTAAGTAATTAGATTTTCTAGAGAATTATAGACAGTTAAAAAAAACACAACAACTTAGGTGTTTTCTAGTGATAAAAACAGTATATACTCTTGGGTTAAAAACTGTGTGTATATAATAAAATTAAAAAGTACATTAAATGCCCATACATAGGTAGACAGGATGAGTGATGTCTCAGCAAAAGGGAATATACCCATGACCATATATAAGTTTGGCAGATGATATTTTTATATACGTATTTATATGTGCTATAAGAATATCCATATATATAATACAGTTAACAGGGGGCAAATTTGTGAAACTTCTTAGCCATAGCCAAACTCTTTGAGGGAGTGAGTTGTTGGGCCCATGGGCTTGGGACCATGGTCATGGGGGATATCAAACTCAATTGGCATAATGTGCTATGCAAAAACACTGTTCTACATCCTACTTTGGTGAGTAGCGACTAGGTCTTGAAAGCTTGCAAGCGGCCATCTAAGATGTAACAATTGGTCTCTCCTAGACTGGAACAAAGAAGAATGAAGAAAAAAAGAATGAGACACATGGAAACAGTTAGTCCAAGGGACTAGTGGACCATGTAAACCTCAGCCTACATGACTCTAAGATCAGAAGAATAAGATGATGCCTGGCTACTACTGTCACCTACTAGGAAAGGGATCAGTGCAGGAGGTCCTGGATAGCTCAACCAAGAAGCTCACTGCTGTTGAGTCGAATCTGACTTATAGCGACTCCTCCTTGGGTTTCTGAGGCAGTATCTCTATGGAAGTAGATTGCCTAGGCTTCCTTCCAAGGAGTGGCTGGTGGGTTTGAACCACAGCCTTCTGGTTAGCAGTCAAATGCCTTAGGCAGAGTGGGAGAAAAATGTGGAACAAAACTCAGAATCATAAAAAAGGCCAGGCTAACTGGTCTGATAGAAGCTGATGAAACCCCTGAGACCGTGGCCCCTAGTCACCCTTCAGGACTGGAATTGAACTCACTCCCGTGGCTTCCAGCCAAACAGTAGACGGGCGTGTAAGGTCAATATCTACACCAGGTAGGTACATTCTCATAACAGTCAGCCATGGAAGATTAGAAGGGCAGTATTTGCACAGGAGGATAGCTCAGGGGACAGGAATGGACAGGAAAGGACACAGGGTCAAGGTAATTATAGGGAGGAAGTGGAAGAGAGCTGGTATATTATGGGGACTGTAATCAGTGTTATGAAACAAAATGTATGGAAAATGAATTTGCTCTATAAACTTTGAACAAATCACACCCAAAAAAACCGAAAAACAAAACATTAAATATCATCAGTAGTGGTGTGTTCTTCCATTGTTTTCCTATGTGAATATTTATGTATGAATTACAAAGAGATTTCTATTATTTTTAAAATAAAAAAACTCTGTTTTCTATTTTATAACTTTATATATATCACGAACATCTTCCTCTGTCATAAGTATATGCTATATATATACTTATAACAAAACCTTGGACTTTAGAGTTTTTCAACTGTTACTGTTTTATGAGAAATGATGCCTCTCATTTTTTCATGAGACTTGAAACTCCAAATGCAGATATTCTTTGGGAAGGAACATGATGACTTGACTTTAAGTAATAACTGGACTATCCCAAATCTAAAACTCTCTCTGGCAAATAAATAATTTTACAACTAGTACCAGTGATTGACTTTTCCATTGAGACTCATATTTAAATCTCATCTGACTTGTTCCCACTATATTTAGAACCTTTTCTCCTGTCACTGGAGAAAGGTTCACTATTTCTTTTTTTTTTTTTTTTAAATAATATTTTACTGTGTTTTCGGTGAAGGTTTACACAGCCACTTAGGTTTCTGTTCAACAATTTCTATACATACTGTTAGTGGCATTGGTTATATTCTTCACAATGTATGATCATTCGCAATATTTCTGTTCTAGTTGTTCTATTTTCATTTATCTAGTTCCTCTGACTCCTTACATTTTCATCTTTGAGAGTAATTGTTAACTGTTTGGAGGTCTCTGTTTTCTTAATTTTTTATGTATTGCAGTAATGTAAGTCATAGCATATCCTTCTCTTTCCCTGGAATAATCCCAATTATTGTCACTTTTCCTATTGGGCCTGTTTTTCTAGCTTTTAATTGTGTACATTTTCCCCTGGATCCTCTGTAAATTCTCTACACCTTGCAAGAGTTCAAGCAGGATTGGATTTCACCACAGCAGAGGTGATGGCTTCCCAGCCTTAGAGTGTTACATGTGCTATTCTGTGTTTTGCCTTTTTTTTTTTTTTTGAGTTAGTACTATAGTGATCTGCATTTTCTGAATTTTTTTTTTTTTGATAGGACCTTGCTAAGAAATACTCTGACAAGCTAGAATGTTGTGAACATGAGGTAGAAAAAATAATAGAAGAAATACGATGCAAAGCAATTGAACGTGGAACAGGAAATGAAAATTATAAAACAACAGGAATTGCTACAATTGAGGTATTTTTACCTCCAAGACTAAAAAAAGTAAGTAATTTCTCCAAATTTAATATGTACATAATTTAATGAAGTCATCAAATAAATACCATTTTTTAAAAACTAAAGACCAGATTTATAATTCTTTTAGTTAAAGGCCAGATTTATAATTCTTTTAGTTAAATATCAGATTTATAATTCTTTTAAGTTCTTTTGCATGTTGGACATTTATTGACTTAAAAGTTAATTTTATGGACTCCTAAACTAGGACACTTAAAATGTAGATTTCTTCCTCTTCAGACTTCCAAAATTTCATGAAACTATATCATATTTTGATCGTTTCTAAAGTTGAAATAGAAATTTAGAAATAATAAGAAATAAAGTACTTCAGTGTTCTAAAACTTTTGTGTGGTAGGACATACCACAAGGCATTCATCTTTTTTCCTGTTCAGGTGGAGGTCAAATGGTGTCAGCTTAGTGCTCAAGCAGGGTCACTGTACTGGGTGGGTCCACTTTATGATGGGGCCAGGTTCTCAGTAGTTCTAGTCCAGAAATGTTACTGAGTCAGAGCACCCAGAGGTAGCCGGCATCTTAGAACCATTCATTGCTAATTCTTAAAAGAAATAAAAATATATATGTCTCAGAGTTACCACATGACCCAGCAATTCTACTCCAAGAGAAAAGAAAACTGTGTCCATATAAAAAACTTGTGCATGAATGTTCACAGCAGCATTAGTCACAATAGCCAAAAAATGGAAAAAACTCAAATGTCTCATTAACTGATGAGTGGATAAATAAAATGTTACATATCCATATGCAGCAATGAGTCATTTTTATATGGCTTTTCTAGCCATGGTCTTGTAACTCTCACCAAAAGATTGGGTAGGATTATACAGTTAAGGTGCTTGTGGCCCACCAAGAGAATTGGACAGCTTTCTAGTAATACAGTAAGATTCATGGCACTCTTGTGGGGGTGGGACCATGTAAATAAAGTGTGTAGAACCCTGATGAGGGGATTGGTCAGTTTTGCCATCCCAGAAGGCTTAAAATGAGGCAAAGATGGAAAAGGGGTCCTCACTACTACCAAGAAGGAAGACCTGAGAATAGAATATGTCCTGTGGACCTGGGGTCTCTGGGCTAAGAACTTCTTAGACCCAGGAGACAGTAGCTGTAACACTGGAGATGGAGAGAAGCAGGGGTAGAGGAATGGTGGCAGCAGAGGCAGCAGAACCAGGAGACTGGAGGGAGATGGCATGATGAGCTTCCAGGCCCACTAAGTGAGAAACCTGAGTGTCTTCAGGCTTGCTGGTAGATTGTGATACCTGTGGGCATTTATTGGTAGAGCTAAAGAACTTTGTAACACTTGCCGGAATAGGGCAGAGGCCAGGCCAGCCCATGAGGTCCAAGGAGCCAAGGGCTAAGAAGAGGGCTGGCTGTGGGCATGGCTGAGAAGATGTCCTGACTGAAGAACTGTATCTTGGGTTGTTTCTGATCCTGAATTGTAGTCTGTTACTTCCCTAATAAACCCCATTATCATGAGTATTGTTTGTGAATTTTGTGTGGCCATTGCAATGAGTTCTCACTCCCAGCAGAGAAGTAGAGAATGCTGTGGGAGAGAAGGCTGGTGTCAGAATTGGGAAAAAGGTTGGAGAGAGGAGGTATGTCTGACCTCTGCCTCATAGGAATCAACCTTATTCAGGCTGATATCAGGCTGATGCTGATACTAATTCTCTCTCCTCCCCATTGTGAAGTTAGAGGAGGTCAGATGCCCCCATGCTGCCATTTTAAATGCTATACAATGGATTACTGTTAAGCAGTAAAAAGGAATGAAGCTCTGATTCATGCTACAACATGGATGAACCTCAAAAACATTATGTTAAGTGAAAAAAGCCACTCATGTAAGGCCATGTATTATATGAAATGTCCAGAATAGACAAATTCATAGAGATAGAAAGTAGATTCACAGTTGCCTAAGGTGAGGTGTGGGAGGTAGAGAGTATGGAGTACAGGTTTTTTGGGGAGATGATGAAAATATTCAAAATTGGATTATGGTGAGTATCTTACTTATCTAGTGCTGCTACAGCAGAAATACCACAAGTGAGGGGCTTTAACCAACAAAAATTTATTTCCTCACAGTTGAGAAGGCTGTAAGTCTGAATTCAGGGTGCTGGCTCTAGTGGAAGGCTTTCTCTTTCTGTCAGCTCTGGAGGAAGATCTTGTTGGTCTCAAGCTTCTGCTTTTGGGTTATCTGCATGTGGCTTGGCATCTCTCTTTCCCCATCTCTACTCTTATTAAATTTCTTTTATATCCTCAAAAGAGATTGACTCAAAATACACTGTACATTAATCCTGCCTCATTAACATAATATAATCCCATTCACAAATGGGATTATAACCACAGGTGTAAAGATTAGGAGTTACAACATATTTTTTTGGGCATAATTCAATCCATAATAGTGATGGTTGTACAACTCTGTAAACATTTAGAAACTGTTGAATACTTTAAACAGGTGAACTTTGTGGTATTTAAATTTTCTCAATAAATAGTTTAAAAATTCTAGGAAAAATAAAGAGCTTAATGAGAAAAAGAAAAGTATATATATATCTCATTGTGCGGTTTATGAATTTAAAGGGCAATAAACTTAAAACCTTCTTTGCTAGTTTTCAAGTATTTGGGAAGTCAAACTACCAATCAGAAAGCTAAGCAAATTTGGATGGTCTCTTAGGTTTTGCTGGTGATTCTATGTTTTCATTTTAAGCCTGGCTAGTGGAGAATGAAGAGGTTCCAAAAACATGGCTCCCTGCAACTTCCTATCATAGCCTCACTGTATGATGAGGAGGAAGTATCTTCTGTTCATTGAGGTGGTCTTTAATGTTGGAGGTGGTAGGTTGAGTCCTGTATAGCTTGGGCCAGCTTCATTAGTTGAGCTAGACTAAAGCTGGCTATGTGACAAACCTGCCTTTTAAGAATCTTATCTTCCCTCTAGAGACTGAGCTCTGGTAGCGTAGTGCCTAAGGCACATGACTGCTAACCAGAGGTTCAAACCCACCAGCCACTCTTCGGAAGGAAGGTTGGGCAGTCTACTTCTGTGTAGTGGTAATACCTCAGAAACCCAAGGAGGGGTCGCTATGAGTCAGGTCCGACTTGACGGCAAATAATAACAACAACAGAGACTGAAAGTCTACCTGGTACTGCGTGTTTTTTCTGATGTTGCCACATTGGTGCTCCTCTGAGGATGTTCTGGCCACTAATCCAGTCTGGTGACAGAGTGACTCCAAGCACATTTTATTGTAGCTTTTGGCCAGTGACCTAAGTACTTACATCCTTTAATGTTTCTGAATTTGTAGATACAGGCTAATGGCTCAAAAAGTACATTTTATTTTGTTTTTTAAATAGGACAGGAAAAGCTTGTTGGAAACACGCTTGCATATCACCGGCAGGGAACTGAAGTCCAAGTAAGTACCATGAGCTCTGGGGCCCCAGGTGGTCTTGGCCATTTTACCTGGTCTTCTGTGGCCATCTTATTGGAGAAAAAGGGTAGGTATTGTTACCGCCATCTATTGCGAGGGAAAAGGAGAATTTGAAATTGAATGACTTAGTTAAGTGGGAAAGTGGGAACTCAGAACTTGCAACATTCTTCTTTATTTCCTGCTATAACTTTAAATTAGGTCAGAACTCATTGCCCACCATGTAATTGATACTGGATCAATGTTTGAATGAGTGAGTGTGGATTTTAAAAGAAGATAGCCTGGTATTGAATTGTAGTTCTTAATGCAAAGTGTTTGAACCAATTTCAGACTGTTGTCCCATTGGAAAAAAGAAAAAATAACAAGACACAATGTTGTTATTGTTGTTAGTTGGCTCCGACTAGTAGCGACCCTGTGTACAACAGAATGAAACACTGCTCAGTTGTGCACCATCCTCATAATCCTAGCTACACTTGAGCCCATCATTGCCATCGCTGTATCATTCCATCTTGTTGAGGGTCTTCCTCTTTTTCGGTGACCCAAGCATGGTCTCCTTCTCCAGGGAATGGTCCCTTCTGACAACATGACCAAAGTAGGTGAGATGAAGTCTGGGTATTCTCACTTCCAGTGAGCATTCAGGTTGCATTTCTTCCAGGACAGATTTGTTGGTTCTTCTGACAGTCCATGGTATTTTCAGTATTCTTCACCAACACTACCATTCAAAAGTGTCAACTCTTCTTCAGTCTTCCTTATTCATTGTCCAGCTTTCACATGCATATGAGGTGATTGAAAATACCATGACTTGGGTTAGGTGCACCTTAGTCTTCAAAGTGACCACAATAGAGATAGTAATTTTGAGATCTGGTCATTTGTTTCATCTCCTTGTATATTTTTAAATGGTGAGTATTTTGAGTACCTCCAGGCCTCACCAGCCAGTGTTTTCAGCTTCTTTTTCCATTTCCTTCTTTGGTCTATATCAGGGCTTTTTTCCTAGTTCAGGAAGCATCACTCTTTCAGCACCAATGAATAGAAGATTGGAAGGAACAGCCCCTATTACTGGCTTCTCCAAGGAGCCTGCAGAAGATAAAGGGAATGGATTTTCTCATGACATCAGCCAGGGTCCTCCTGCTCAGGTAGTTTATAACACCATGGTCCTCTGTTTCATGAGGAAACATGTAGTAAGCAGATAGTTTAAAAATGACATCGTCTTTTACACTGTTTTGAGTAACCATCTGGTAAGCTGGCTTTGCCATGAAATGGTGTTTGTGGGTTGGTAAGTTGTAATATTGGGTGTTTCTGAATAAAATGTATAAAATAGTTATGATTAAAATATATTTAATGGATGATAAATAACACATTTGTTTCCCGACAGTTTTCACTGGTTTTATTTTACAGAATAGCTGAAACCTTTGGATTTCAAGAAAATTATATCAAAATTGTCATAAATAAGAAACAGCTTCAACTAGGTATGTTATGGCAAAATATGCAGAATTTTTAAATCAAGCCAGTATAAAAGTAATGACTTTCCATCCTTTTTTTCACTGTTCCTCTATTCCAAAACTTTTAATGACCTAATTTGTATATAATCCAAAAGCAATTATTTTAGAAGTTTACTAAAATAAAAATGTAAAGCAGAAAACAACTTTTCCAGTAAGTATATATTTCTGTCCTATGTCAGGGTATACTGCAATGGGGGAGAAGGACACTAAGGTCTGATTAAGTGTTACCAACTTGCAGTCTAGGGTGTGCTGAGAGTGAAATTGGGTTCAAAGAGATTCTCCCCAAGAGAGAAGAGTTATAGCTGAATGCGGAGAGCAGGAAAGGCTATAATAGGGAGTGTTTCAGGCTGAGAGCTTCATCACAGCACCCTGATAGAAACCCCAGGAAGTGAAATAAAAGCCCAGTATGGCTGTGTGGAGAAAGAGAGGAGGGAGTAGCTCTAAGGATGGAGAGCCAGGCAGAGTCCACTTTATGGAAGACTATGCAAGTGGTTCTCAACCAGGGATGATTTTATCCCACAGGGGATATTTGGCAATGTTTGGAGGGATTTTTGGTTGTCATAGCTGGGGTAGGGAGGTACTACTGCATCTAATGGGTGGAAGCTAGGGAGGCTGCTAAACATCCTGCATTGCACAGGATGGCCCCTACAACAAAGAATTATGATTCCTGTCCAAAATGTCAATAGTGCTGCTGAGAGACCTAGAGTATAACCTTATTCAATGTTAGAGTATTTCTCCTGTTCTGGTTACCTAGTACTGCTCTGACAAGAATATACCACAAATGGGATTCCTTGAACAAACAGAAGTTTATTCTCTTACAGTTTGGGAGTCTGGAAGTCCAAGTTCAAAGTGCAGGCTCTAGGGGCTGGGTGAAAGCCCCTCGACCTTGGGCTTCAGCTCTGCCTCTTGCTCCTGGTCCACTGAAGCTAGAGGCATCTCTTCACTCAGGCAGCTACTGGCTGCTGAGGCTAACAAGCCCAAGGTTGACAAATAAAATGGCACAGTCCCGATGTTACCAAACCACACGGCAGGCCATTAATTCAAGTCCATTGAAAGTCCCAAGGTTGGCAGAGCATGGCAGGCTGCTGAACAATGACATGGCTACATGCAGGGTTCAAGAGTGTCAAAAGCTAGAGACCGTTCCCAAGGCTTCCCGTTATATACAGGCAGCAGACCACATCCCTAAAACAGCTACTTAGCTGCTCACAGTAGATTCCATCATGGATTTGATTATCAGTCTTATCATGGGGAATACTACATGCAGCTGCCCAGCCACTCAACCAGGCCCAGCCAAGGTGACACACAGACTTAACTGGGAAGCCATTTATGGGGGGGGGGGGGGGCGATGATATTCACTCCTGTTTATGTTTTAAAGATCACTTTAGCTTCATGAAGGAGCTCTGGTGGCACAGTGGTTAAAGCATTTGGCTGCTAATCAAAAGGGTGGCAGTTTGAACCCACCAGCCACTCTAGGAGAAATATGGGGAAGGCTCCTTTCCTTGAAGATTTACAGCCTTGGAAACTGTATGGGGCAGTTCTGCTCTGTCCTCTGGGGTCGCTCAGATAGAATTGACTCAGTGGCAGTGGATTTGGTTTTTGGGGTTTACTTTCATGAGGGGAATGGGTTTGAAGGGAGCATGAGTGAGTCTGGGGAGACCAATTAGTTATTGAAGTAGCTCAGTCAAGCACTGTAGTCTTTTGGTTTCCAGTGGCTTCCTGTTACCTAGGGAGTCAAATTCAGATTTCTTAGCTTCACAACCTAGCCCTGGCCTTTCTTTCCAGTGTCATCTCTAGCTGTTTTCTAACAAGAAATCTAGAGCCATACTTGACTGTCCGCTGTTCTCACATGTTACTTTTTTTTCACCTTTGTTCCACCTGAACTACCTCCCCTTTTTATTCCTCTTCATCCCACTGCAAAATCTGAAAAGTAAGCCCATGCCCAGCTCCTTTGGCACCTTCTTTGTTTATTTTATTTATTTAAATTGTGATTTGGGTGAAAGTTTGGAAAGGAAATTAGTTTTCCATTCAACAGTTCATATACATCTTGTTTCAGACATTGATTGCCATCCTCACAATGTAATAGTTCTCTTCCCACTTCTTCCTTGTGATTACCTTTTCCTTATGTCCTTCTTTCCTATGCATTCGTGCCCTCTGAACTTTCTCTCTGTGTAAGTGCTGCCCTTCTCATCTCCCATTGTTGATTGTTCTAAGGAGCATACCTACCTGGTATAGGTGTTCACTTCATAGGTCTATCTGGTGTTTGGCTGGAAGTTAAGTCATGGGAGTGAGTTCAATTCCAGGCCTGAAAGGTGGCTCGGGGCCATAGTCTTTGGGATTTCACATCTCTGTCAGACCAGTAAGCCTGGTCTTTTTTGATTTTGAGTTTTGTTCCACATTTTTCTCCCACTCTATCCAGGATCTCCTATTTTGATCCTTTTCCAAGTGGTTGGTAGTGGTAGCTGGGCACCATCTAGTTCTTTTGGTCTCAGGGTCACGTAAACTGAGGTTGCCATGGTCCAATAGTCCCTCGGACTAGTTGTTTCCATGCATCTTTGATTCTCTCCTCTCTTTGCTCCAGATGAGAAGAGACCAATTGTTGATGAGGAGAGGCCATCTTATTATTATTAATTTTCTTAATCTTTTATTTATTTATTTTTTATCGTGCTGTAGTTGGAAATTTACAGAGCAGAATTTATTTTACATTCAACATTTCGTGTATGTTTGGGTTCACTCCCCAGTTACCATCCACAACCCTAACCCACTCTCCTCCTCTCTCTTCCCAGTAAACCCCCCATCCCCGCCTTGATCTTCATAGTTATACACTCTTGTGTGTCCTGCTTTTCCTCTGTGAATATTGCCCCTCTGGTGCTCCATGGCCAATTGCTCCAAGAGATGTATCTCTGTAGAATATGTGGGTGCATCACCCTGGGTTGAGTGGTCTGTGTGTATGTCTTACTTACTATTGGGCTGAGAGCCAGCCACTGGGAGTGAATTTTATCCCTAGGCCTGAAGTATATCCCAGGGCCATATTCCTGGGGGTTCCACCAGACTCCATCCAACCAGTAATTCTGGTCATTATTGTGTTTTTGGATTTTGTTCCATGTTTTTCCTCCTCCTCTATCCAGGATCTCCAGTTTTGATCCCTTCCCTAGTGGTTGGCATTGGTACCCAGGCACCATCTAGTTCTTCTGGTCTTGAGGTCCATCATGTCCTAGGGCTGATTGTTTCCATATGCCCTTGTTTTTTGCACTCTTCTTCGCTTCCGATGATAGGAGACCATTAGCTGCATCTCAGATGGCCACTTGAAAGCTTTCAAGACCCCAGTCACTACTCACCAATATAGGTTGTGGAACAAGACTTTTATGTATTTTGTTGTGCCAATTGAGTCCGGTGTCCCCCAGTACTATGGTCCTGAGTTGGTAGATCCATTGGATCTCTCTCCCACAGTGTCTGGCTTTCTATGAGGGATTGCTCTGCCTGTCTTCTGTTGTTTTTGTAATGATTGCAGGTATTTTGTATCATTGATATCTGTGCAAGATTAGCCTCAGGTGAATCTGTCTTTGGTCTAGAGTATAGTCTTATTCACTGACCCCCATCTGATCTTCTCTTATGTTTATCTGTAGCCTGGTGTTTGATGTTAATGATAATGCAGTATTGTGGATATACTGCTATTAGCTTCTGTTGTCTATATCTTATGTGCACAATTTGGTATCCTCCCTTTCCCCAGTGTTACCATGCTGGTCACAAACTCTTTCCATACCATCCCTCGCCTTCCCACCTCAATGTGTGGCTCCAACTAGCCCGAAATGATTGTCTCCCCTTCTTTTCCCTCCCCGGTAACCTACAAAGGGAGTTCCCTTCCTTAAGCAAACTCTTCCTTGTCTCTTTACAGTAATGAGCTCATACAATATTTGTCTTCTGCGATTGACTTATTTCACTCAGCATAATGTTCTCCAGGCTTATCCACATTATGAGATGATTCACGTATCCTTCATTGTAGCATAGTATTCCATCGTGTGACTGTACCATATTTTGGTTATCCATTCATCTATTGATGGTCATCTAGGTTGTTTCCATCTCTTTGCTATAGTGAATTGTGCTGCAGTGAACATGGGTGTGCATATGTCTGTTCGTGTCCTGTCTCTCACCTCTTTAGGATATATTCCTGGTAATGGAATTTCTGGTTCAAATGGTATTTCTGTTTTCAGTTTTTAAAGGAAATGCCATACCGTTTGCCACAATGGTTGTACCATTTTTCAGTCCCACCAGCAGTGTATGAGAATTCCAATCGCTCTGTAACATCACTGGCATTTGTTATTTTCTGTCCTGTTGAACTTTGCTATTATTGCTGGGGTGAGATGATACTCATCATTGTTTTGATTTGCATCTCTCTAATGAGTAAAGATCACGAGCAATTCCTCATGTGTTTGTTGGCTGCCAGCATATCGTCTTTAGTGAAGTGTCTGTTCATGTCCCTTGCCCATTTTTTAATTGGATTGTTTTGTCTTTTTGCATTTTTGAATTGGATTGTTTTGTCTTTTTGATGTTGAGGTGTTGAAGTTTTCTGTAGATTTTGGAGATAAGTCCTTTGTCAGATATGTCATACTCACTGCCATTGAGTTGGATCCGACTCATAGCGATCCCTCCTTGGGTTTCTGAGGTGGTATCACTACGGAAGTAGATTGCCCAGTCTTCCTTCTGAGGAGTGGCTGGTGGATTTGAGCTGTCAGCCTTCTGGTTAGCAGTCAAATGCCTTAGGCACTATGCCACTAGCTATTTTCTCCCAATCTGTAAGTTCTCTTTTTACCCTTCTGATGAAGTCTTTCAATGTGCATAAGAATTTGATTTTTAAAAGGTCCCAGTCATCTAGCTTCTCTTTTACCTCCTGTGCATTGTGAGTTATGTTTGATAGTCTATTTATGCTGTAAATTGGGGCCCCTAGATTTTCCCGTTTTATCTTTGATGAA